TGGAGGGCGGAAGCCAAGCGATTTCGTCCTGACCAAAAAAAAAGAGTGTAGATGCTGTTTCTGTATATTCTGTTATTGTTAGTGTATATAGATTATGTGGCTCACAATCTGCTGGTTGTTAGTAAAATTTATAAATATTGCACCACCTTTAATTTTTATAACCACGAGTCACAAGTTGGTAGAAATAATAGGATATGCTTTCAACAATTTTTAGGTTTTTAATGTTTTAGATTTTAATACTCGTATTTATCAAACCATCCAGTTATTATTATGGACGCGGACAGTGGTGGCATAACGAATGGATCACGTTACGTGTCGTGCAAAAACTGATATGTCATATACGCTTCCGTTCGTAAAGCTGGGTCTTTATTGTAGCGGAGGCAGTTTTAGAATTGACTAAAACTTAAAATTTTCATTTCTGTAGATCTCTCGCGATCACTTAATTTAAAGCGGTCATCGTAGCTCACAGTCACCATAACGTGAAAACCGTCATCAACCTGGAAATATCAGATCTAAGCCTTGATTTTATTTAGAAAGCCCCAGCTGTAAAACTGGAACGCACAACTGCTTCAGTGCAAAAATTACCGTAAAATAGAAATAGGCGTTTACAATAATTTGTACTAATACTATAAATATGTGTGTGTATATGTTTAGAAATAAAACCGGTACTAGCCATGTTTTATTTTCCTATATTTTATAGATGTATAAAAATCGAGGAAATCTTTTTGTAATTATGTGTATTATCTCCGACGTTCAGTCGTCCACAAAAATTATATTATAAAGTGTGCGAAAAATCGGAAATAATATAGCGTAGATATTTTATTTATTTCTAATGTATTATTCTGTTGCACATTTACATAATACAATAATGTATCATATAATACACGTTCTAATTCGTTCTTCAATTTTATATTAAATATTAACGGAACTTGGAACTCTAATATATTCTGATTATATTATATAAGTATAATAGTATTTGACAATAGAACCATAATAATTTTTCATAATAAAATTTCAATTGATTAAAGTCGAATTTCGACTACTGCGGGACCATTAGTAGGTATATTCAAATGTATATAAGTATGTATGTTAGTCTCTGGTATCAATAACACAGGGAAGTCCTAAATTGGGGTCAGATGACCGTTCGTGATTTGTTCCAAGCTATTTATTATTTCATTGAAAGACGATTTTTTTGAAGTTCAGCCTGAAACAAAAGGTTGTCTGATTAATTTACGTATGAAATCATTTTTTTTGTTTCTATTAAAATTTCTTTAATAATCTTTCCGCTTTCAATAAGACTACCTTCAAACAGCAGTCGTGGACATCAACACAGCTATTTATATCGAACTAGGCGAGAAACACATTTCGAGTGGTTATTGGTTTTCAGCGGATGTGTAAGAAGCAGGAACAAATAATAGTAATTTAAAACTTATTAATCTTTTTACGGTGGAAAAAATAAGTTAAGATAATTCGTCTTAACTTATTTTTTTATTGCTACCTTTAGAGTAAAGGCGTATCTCTTTTATTTTTATGATCTTCTAATATGAAGTACCAGCCTTTCCTATACAATCGATAATCGGTTCAGATTTTTTCATTATTCTTAATTTGTTAACGCTTTAGTACGCGTGATATAGAAATGTTTTGTTCTTCAATATATCATCATCATCATATTCACGTTTGTCAGTTGATGCAGAACTAAATTAGATCGATAGTTCTGTTCGTGGTCTAATTGGCAAGTCTAATTGCTCAGTGCTCTGTACTCATGCAAAGATAGCGTGATTGCATTTTGAAGCAGCACCAATTTCCCAATCAATTATGACAATATTAACTCTGTATTTAATAAGTTTACTAGTATGGTGAATTGCTTAATGAGTATTTAGATGAGAAATTATTATTTTACTATTATTATTGCGGTAGACTTATGACTATTATTATATTATTATGAACATTACTATTGAAATTAACAAAGATTCAATTTAAGAAAATGTATTTCTAATAAAATGTAACTTTGAAATAGCAGCTCTATAAGATCTACATTTGGGACTTGTCAGCTTATTCGCACCTTGTTAGCTGAGATATACTTATGAAAGAATTCCTCGATTAAAAATTACGATGCAGTGTTTAAACTTAAATAAAACAACTTTTACGATTTAATCCTGCGATATTTTTTTTCCATTATATTAAATTATATTCGACCTTTCGATATATTTACATATTTCGTGGTAGCTGTCAGATATCCGTAAAGTATTTATATTTATACTTTTAATTATGTCTACGACTCGCAAAAATCGGTGAAAACGTGTAATAACTGATTGTATTATGTAACGGACGTGACGTCAGCTGTCATGCCCTGCCGCCAGCCAAGCCGCCAAGCCATATTAACACGCCCCCTTCCGCCACAGCCACCGCCACCGCCGCCAGCCAAAGCCAACGAAGGGGGGATAGTGTTAATAAAACAAGCCGTGCCAGCCATTTCTACCTACTTTTCTGCATTCTTGCACAAATAAAAGAACTTGTNACTTAGCAGGAATTTAATTTAATGTGACCCGCTCCATACAAAAAAATCACAAAACACATTTTTCTGACCAAACTATAAAGTTTTTGTAATTTTTGCCCAAAACAATTATTATTGAGATTAACGAGCTCTATCTATCTACGTAAAAAAATTTGTTAAAAAACAAAGTTGGTCCCTAAGTCACTCAAATCATAGTATCGACCCACTGTGCGACGCCCTCTGTGATCCAAGCCGCCTGCCGTCGATCGTTGCAGGTGTGCCGGCGGCGCTTGCTGACAAAGGGTGCGGATGCGCTTTGTGATCTAAGCCGCGCGCCGACATATATATGTGGTCATTGTCCTTTCCACACTTATAAAGAATATAGAGAAGTGCAAAATGCTAATATTTTTATAAAATAATGCATAAAAGATACATTAAATCAATAAAGAAAACATTACACACACTACCATGTATTTGACACACACGCGTGCATACTATTTATTTATTGTCAAACTTTTGTTCTTGACGTCTGTGGTCAAATTGAGAATAGATTAAAATAAATATTGTTTGTCTTTATTAATATTTTTCTATAGTGTAGTCTTGGCGTTGAAAACACAATCATATTATTCCAATTAATTATAGTCGAATTTCGACTACTGCGGGACCTCTAGTTATTATTCACTAGTATTTTCATTGTTTTGCTTTTAAAGTTTGATAATCGCATTACGAAGATTTTGATGATGTATTTACATTAAATAATAACAAAGCTGGGGCAAGACATATGACATAGATCTAATGGAATAAAGGCAAGATTCACAATTCGCATTGTCCTATAAAACGGAAGGCTGCCAGAACGTTATACTCCGCATTTAAGGACAATTCCGTTCTAAGCTCAGCACTGGGATGCAGGAGAAAACCGGGTTTAGATATTCGCGGAATGCGGAGTCGATGACCGGTGGTGCCCTACGTGCGGACTAAGGGCTTTCGCATCATCATTTTCGCGCAACATAAAATCATTAATTTAAATATTACTCGCCAATTTGCGTGATAGATAATTTAAATCAAGATCTTAGAATTGAACTGTAGTGACTTTAAATTGTGCTTTGTAAATGTCTTTATGTCATTATGTTTTATATGTTATTATGTTTTATATGTTATTATGTTTTATATGCAAAGTATTTTTACAATAGTGACGCATCCATATTCAGTTCAGAATAATGCTCAAAGACACCACACGAATGTCGCCATGTTGTTTGAAGCATCTATTATACTACGAGTAGTTGGTGTTGATTGTGTTTGATGGTTTGAACACATAATTATTATCATCATTAATGACAATTCAGTTAATCTTGTTCGTTCTATTTAGACTAATTTGATACCCTTAGGTATGTATTTAATTACAATTGTAGATACATAAGGTATACACGAAAACAATTTTCATAAATATTGTGGTGAATATCAAAATTTCTAATTACTGCCAGAAATTAGTATAATTTTTTTTTGAAGTGAAACTTCTTTAGAGTCGTTGGGTGTGATTTCAAACTCGATGAAGCGAAAAAATGAAACGTGAAGTTAAAATATCAATTCACAGAGGGCGCTACCTCATACTATAAAAGATGATTTACAATTATTTCTATTTAGTTTGCTATCAACAGATGTCACTACACATAAATTCAACAATTCCTGAATCTCGATGACGAGATGTTACACAGTTGATAGAGGTTCTCGTATATCTCTTTCAAATTGTCTATGGGTTATGACGGTAACCACTTAACACTAGCATTTTTGCCGGACTACCAGTCACTGACTTCAGTGATTTGGTGGTTAATAAACTTATTATACAAGCGAGACTACTTGTCGTGTCGAACCGTTCGTTCCTATATCGAGTAGAGGGGGAATTCGCTCTCGCCCCCGTCACTCTCCAGATTGTATATCAACGATATACCCCGATCTCCGGAGACCCATCTGGTGCTCTTCGCCGATGACACGGCTATCCGGGCTATCTACTACTCGTGTAGGAAGAAGTCGTTGTTACATCGGTGACTCCAGACCGCAGCTACCACCATGTGACCAGTGGTTCCGGCAGTGGCGCATCGACATCAACCCTCTTATCGTAGCCGCCGGTAACTACATTCCCGATCCTGCGGACAGAATGGAAAGCAGTCGATATCGCCCCAAACACGTCATTTCGGATCCTTCCGATCCACTAACGGTGCTTTTAGGTATCTTAAGCACCGGTCATCGTTCTCGTCGAACCCGTCGCTTGCGACGAAGGGCTCGACGAGTAAATTAACCCTCAGACACAGCCCACTGAGTTTCTCGCCGGATCTTCTCAGTGGGTCGCGTTTCCGATCCGGCGGTAGATTCTGCGAAGAGCCGTCTCTTGCTAGGGTTCGTGTTAGCAACGTCATCAGACTTGAGCCCCGTGAGCTCACCTACCAGTTAAGGCGACGCTGATATAACCTCTCAAGGCTATCAGCTTAGGTAGGAAAATAAAATAAAATTCATACTTACCTGGCATAGAGACACCGTGATCATGCAGGCGGTTCCCCCAGGGTGAGGCTGTTCCATTGCACTTCGGACTGCGGAGTAGTTGGTAGTTGACCCTTGCGATTATTCATATTTTTTATAAGTTTCACTTCTACTGTGTGTGACTTGTACACACACACACATTTTTTCATACCTGTCGTCATTAAGAAGCCGATTTTTATGACAAAATTAAAAAAAAAATTGAAATAATTAATCTTAAAAATCTGGAATATGATTTAAAATCTGCATTATAATCCGCGACGAAAATACTTATTCCAATTATCACTGTGTTTTAATGCGTGCGTGCTAAGATGCTTACAGTCAGTAACACACGTTAATCTCCAGTTAAAAACTAAGACCTTACAACTAATGTCTCAAGATGGGTGGCGGCATTTACGTTTTAGATGTCTATGGGCTCCGGTGACCACTAACACCGGGTGGGGTGCGAGCTCATCCGCCCATCTAAGAAATAAATAAAAATATAAAAAAATCTCAATTTCTTCGCACTGTTTAAGTCGAAATGTGGCCTAAGCTTAGTTACTGTCGTTGCACCGTGCCCCCGCAGAGGAACAGGTGGTTTAAGTGCAATAGTCGTTATGCTATTAGCCATGTCAATAAACTGCCTTTAGCTCTCACTGGTTTTGTATTTATTGCTCACGGCTTGCCGCCGTGTGTTTGAATTAATGTTGAAAACGTCAGCTTCAAACCTGTTCGTCTCTAAATACGATTGCGGTAGATCAATATCCCTCCTAAGTAGATAATGATACGGTTGTTTGCAACCAGCCACACCTTGCAGCCGACGCAGCTTTGAACGAAAGTTATCTTACTCGATTCATAATAACTGTTTTTTAGTCTTCTTGTCTATGCCATAAATTACATGACATCAATGACCATGACAATGACAATGAATTATGATGAATGAATAAGTTAAAGCTGGTGTTAAGTGGTTACTGGAGCCTATAGACATCCACAACGTAAATGCGCCACCCACCTTGAGATATAAGGTTTAAGGTCTCAAGTATAGTTATAACGGCTGCCCCACCTTTCAAACCGAAACGCATTACTGCTTCACGGCAGAAATAGGCAGGGTGGTGGTACCCACCCGCGCGGACTCAAAAGAGGTCCTACTACCAGTAAAAAGATTCTGACTTCTTCATGTGCAACGAGTCGTATGTTTGTGGTCGAGGAAGGCAAGTAGTGATAATTTATATGCTATTGTTTCCAAGCCTGATATAACCCACATTGAGTTTCTCGCCGGGTCGCGATACCGATCCGGTGGTAGATTCTGCGAAGCCTTGCTCTAGCTAGGGCCAGTGTTAGTATATTCTCTCAGGTTGAGCCCCGTGAGCTCACCTACCAGACATAGCGTAGCTGGAACAAAATTTTAGGCGACCGTCGAACAAGTCGTCGTGTCCTAAAGGATAAGACGTCCGGTGCATTCGTATCTAGCGATGCGACCGTGTTCGAATCCCGCAGGCCGGTACCAATTTTTCTAATGAAATACGTACTCAACAAATGTTCACGATTGACTTCCACGGTGAAGGAATAACATCGTGTAATAAAAATCAAACCTGCAAAATTATAATTTGCGTAATTACTGGTGGTAGGACCTCTTTTGAGTCCGCACGGGTAGGAACCACCACCTCACCTATTTCTGCCGTGAAGCAGTAATGCGTTTCGGTTTGAAGGGTGGGGCAACTGTTGTAACTATACTGAGACCTTAGAACTTATATTTCAATGTGGGTGGCGCATTTACGTTGTAGATGTCTATGGGCTCCAGTAACCACTTAACAGCAGGTGGGCAGTGAGCTCGTCCACACATCTACGCAATAAAAAAAAGGTAGGGAAAAAAGATATCGGCCGAGGTGAAACTACAAATAATTGTCATACACATAACGTGATCTAAGGTTTTCTTCTATGTCATAGGTCCCCGAGTAACAAAGATCAGGAAAGAAAAAAATATATAAATATTAAAAATAAACATATAAACTCTGTGCATAATTTTGCAGACATATTAACATGTGTCAGAGCTGTCAATGGTCTCCCAACCTAGGCTAATTAAAAGATATCGTAACAAAGAATTCTATATTGAAGTAAGATTGTATCGTGATATTAAATGATCATTACAATTGTTGTTCTTTGTTATCAACTTTCACTAATATTAATCAGAAAAATAATAATTGCTTCAGAGCAGCAACTGTAATTTTTTAGGCGGAGCAGACGGTCTTCTTGTGGTCTAGGTGTTATAGGGTCCCATTTTTTTTCTTTACCTATGCTGATAGTCTTGAAAGGCTATTTCAGCTTCTCCTTGACGTGTAGGTGAGCTCACGGGGCTCAAACCGGCAGTGTTGCTAACACTGGCCCTAGCAAGAGCAGTGCTTCGCAGAATCTACCACCGGATCGGAAAAACGATCCACTGAGAAGATCCGGCGAGAAACTCAGTGGGCTGTGTCTATGAGTTAAATCACTCGTCGAGCCCTTCGTCACAAGCGACGGGTTCGACGAGGACGGTGACCGGAATGTCCCATAGTCATGACCACAAAGTTATTGTAGCGAGGAGGTAAGTACTCGCACAAGACTAAGCGCGGCTCCAAATCGTATCTATACCTCATCTTACCTGACGTTTTGTACTACCTAGTATTATTGTCAATTCGTTTTTGTATTTAATAGCGTGTTGTGATTATTTCTTTGCTTTGTAAAAGTGTGCTTTGTAAAATAAACCTGACCGATACAAGTAATTAACCTCGCCATTGCTTATCTTCCATGCGCTACTTTACGTCAGATCTGTTTGAACATTTTATACAAAACAGTAAATGGCAAGTGACAGAAGTACCAGCCACTTCATTAAAATTATTTATTAATTATTATAGTCGTCATGAGCAGGGCTCTAATAATAATAAAAGGAATCAATTGGAATTTCCATGTCAGCCAACCGTAGTTCACAAAATATCCGAAACATAAATTGAAAGTTGTCAAGTACCTACTTTTCAGAGATATCATATACTTCTAGTATATTAATTATATACTGAGACTACTATATACTCTTTGCTTCCGCAGTAAAAGCATTTTGTGTCACAGGGTTCGGGTAATCTTGTAAATTAGATTTAAAATTTAATTATTACTGAAAACGTTTTATTNCCAACCATAATTCACAAAATATCCGAAACATAAATTGAAAGTTGTCAAGTACCTACTTTTCAGAGATATCATATACTTCTAGTATATTAATTATATACTGAGACTACTATATACTCTTTGCTTCCGCAGTAAAAGCATTTTGTGTCACAGGGTTCGGGTAATCTTGTAAATTAGATTTAAAATTTAATTATTACTGAAAACGTTTTATTTACTATTATTACTTGATAATATATAATATTCACAATTCAAATTTAATTATTACTGAAACAACTTTTTATTTACCGTTATTACATGATAATATATTCACAAGAATTAAATAACTTATTTGATTTTAACCGTAAATATTGAGCAACAAACATGAGACGTATCATCCTCGTCCCAAACGCGAACTTCCAATGGGAATTTGCCCTGTAATTAAAGAAAAAGGTACATATTATAATATCAGCGCATAAGACTTATTTTTTGGATAATACTGGACATAGGCTCTTTTGAATTGTGTAGCTACTTTTGCTAACGAGAGTTTTATGTTACCAGAGGCTCAGACATCGTGGTTGCTCGTGTACAGATTGAGAAACATTTTCCTATTTTCCTGGTTTTATTGTCTAATATACAATTAACACTAAACATACCATAACGGATCAAATGACCCATTTTGAACTTTTGCATTAAAAATGCATGTACTATCATCTTATTGCTTTTGCACATTTTACTACATGACTTTTTCTTACCAAATAATCTACAGTTATTATCTTACACAATTTTGTTTTGTTTATTTTGAGTAATGTTTGTCGTATACCGTTATCTACCCGCTATGGTAGAAATAGGTACCAGTAAGTGTTGGTATGATTAGTGTCAAACTTGAAGTGTTGTTGAATTAAACCACCTGCACAGTTTAGTATACTATCAGTTTATTTACGATGTGCAAAACGCGTCACGAAGAAGAAAATGCAGATAAATTATCATGTACCAAAGCGATGAATAGAAATGAAGATATAGTTTATACATTAAGTTATTATTGTAAGCAAAAGTTATGATAGAAGCACAAGCGTCTCTGATGATGTAGTGTGAAGGCGCAGTTGTTCTGTCGCTTTCACAAGTTTAAAGGCAACATTAAAGGGAAGATCTTAAACTGAGTGGGTTGGATTTCTCGTTAGACCAACGTTCCGAATGTTATTGTTCAGAATTTGTGCATATGTAAACTTATCTTGTAATTATCGTAAGCTGTTATAGCTAGCCAAATTTCCAAAGAAATATCTAATTTGTAAAATTACGGTAATGGCTTTCACATTGTGTGTGATTTCTATGTGCCTTGGTAACATCTTAACACCAGATTGGCTGTGAGCTTGTTTAGTGGTTCTAACACCTTACTAAACACCGATAGTTACTATTTCAACAACAGTACCAATATTGCAAGCTTAGACCGCCTTTAATTGAGTTAAAGGACCTGTTAGGAGGCGTTCTCCAACCACTTTATCACGTCATTTTTTCATTAGGGGACTTACTTTTGCGTAGTCTTCATTCTTTGAGAAACTTAATGCATTTATTCGGATTAAGACAGTTCCCTTGGAAAAATTATCAGCTTTACTTACAGAGGCGCGTTTGTCCACAGCCAACTGGAGTTGTATGTGTGTTCGCTTCCCTTCCGATAAAGTATTGTCCAGTAGGTCATTGTACTCTGCTGATCTCGTGAAGGTAGTCGAGAAAGTGTTTTGGTTTTGGACGTCTCCCTTTATGACTGCTTGCAATTTATTCGCAGAAAAGTCTGGAAATAAAACGAATTTTACGTAATTAAATACCTGGTAGTGAATATCCATTAAAAATCGTACCGAATGCATAATGCCATATTAATTTTATTATTAGCTTATTTTTAGCTATTATTGAATTAGTCTGGTGTATTCCACCTTTTCTTATGTTGTTCCTTGCTTGCCTATTGTTTTTAATTTTTTTGTTTCTATTTTTTGTTATATTATTATACTATGTTAGTTGGCTGTTGGTTCTCCTTGTATCAATAAATAAAAAATAAATATTTGAAGCCGAATCAAATGGTGAAGCAGCTTCTGTTGTGGATTTAATTATTTTTTATATGTCAAATTGTAACCGATTTTTACTAGAACTAATAAAAAGAATACAACTTACGTGGAGTAACGTCTAAGCTTATGCTGTAAGGCTTATTCTTCTTGAGAGCGCAGAAGATCGGGCCTTCGCCACAAGGTTCAACCATCACGTTATGAACGGTACACAATGAAGTGTCCACTGAAAAACGTATGCCATTTGTAATAATAATAGTAAATAATAGGATTCATAATCTATATATATAAAAATGAAACCCGTTTTCCGTTGTCACGACATAACATGAAAACGGCTTGACCGATTTGGCTAATTTTGGTCTTGAATTATTTGTTGAAGTCCAGAGAAGGTTTAAAAGGTTAGATAAATATAAAAATATTCGGAATTAAATAAAAATAACAATTTTGTTTTTCCTTTGACGTGTCCCCTGTCGGACGGATTCCTTTTGTTTGTTTTAAGTTTATCTTAAACAAAAGTTTAGGTCTTTTATTTATCGATTGAGGCACTACGAAGTCTGCCGGGTCAGCTAGTAACCTATAAATGAAATTCTATAATCTAAATGTCTAATCATATGCGCGCATATAAGAGTTTCGAGTTCTTTGGACACATAGCCAGAAAGATAGTTGACAATTTAGAAAATGTGCTAGTAACAGGTAAGGTATGCGGAAGAAGCACAAATTGCTGGTCGGACCAGATACGCCCTTTAACACCTCAGTCTACGATGCCATTCGTGCAGCCGAAAAGCTGACGCAGGATAATCTAGGAGAAACTTATTAAGGGATGCCACGACCCTCAGCATTCAGGATTATCGAGGCCAGTAGGAGGATATTTCTAATCATAAACAAAATTATACATATTAAAAAATCCACCACTGTTCTACAGCCCTGACTCGAACATTCACTCGGCCATATGGGACTGACTTTTAGTAATTCCTTTGAGACATGAGGTCGAAATTTCAGTTCTATTTTTTAAGGGTTGTGCCTTTCAAACCGGTAAACATGACTGCTTCAGGACAGAAATAGGTAAGGTGACACGCATATAATACACTTTCCCATAGTAAATACCGAGGGGTGAAAGACTATTTGCTTTAAGCGATATTTCGCCTATCATGCGTCATTTATCTTTGTAATTAAAGGTCCGTTTTATATGGTACTAACAGACCCGGGCACAAGTTGCTGTGGCTAAGGTTTTTGTTTCTAAATAACACGCGGCCGGCTATGCTAATACCAAAAATTAACAAAGTAAGAACGATTGGATTTCACTGTATTCCGTTTACTATGAAATGAATTTCACTTATAATTTAGATTCAGCAACACGTGGTGTCTATGCTATTAAATTGTAGCATAAGCTGTGGCTTAAGTGAAACGTTGGTATTTTTAAAACAGCGCCATCTATGAGATATTCATGTCAGACAGTATTGTTTGTAAAAACTGATACAAGGCGCCATCTGCTTTAGACTTATGAAACTTACAATTAATAAAACAATAATCAACTTAAGAAATCATTTTATTGTTAATTAATAAATATTGCGACCATTAATCGAAATAAAAATCATCCTATGGCCTAACTGGTGGTTTTTACTGGTGGTAGGACCTCTTGTGAGTCCGCACGGGTAGGTACCACCGCTCCGCCTATTTCTGCCGTGAAGCAGTAATGCGTTTCGGTTTGAAGGGTGGGGCAGCCGTTGTGACTATACTGAGACCTTAGAACTATATCTCAAGGTGTGTGGCGCATTTACGTTGTTGATGTCTATGGGCTCCAGTAACCACTTAACATCAGGTGGGCTGTGAGCTCGTCCACACATCTAAGCAATAAAAAAAATAAAAAAAATAATATGGAACAAAACACATATTTAAAAAAAAAGTTTAAATTGGTTCAGTACTCTAGGTGTCCATCGCGGACAAACAACGTGACACGAAATTTATTTAAATTAAGATTAGCATTAACAGTTCGATATTTTTAAATGAAGTTTTATTAAGTTTACCCCATTCATATATCAGAAGAAGTTTTTTTGTTAGGATGTTTTTTTTAAATTTTAAACTTTAAATACCTCTCCTGTAATTCTGCAAAAATGTCGCTTAAACCAAATAGCTTTTTACCCCTCGATATATATACATATATAGAGTTGAAGAAGCATTTGTGTCTGACTAAGAGCGTTCTAGAATATTCTCACGCCCCATACCCTACTAAAACCTTAATTGCATTCTCAAATTATTAACTGTTGACTTACCATCTCTACATTTTTTCTTGAATACAAACTCGCCCTGAACAAAAGCGTAATTCGAAATCAAAATAAGACAAAATACGGCGTACATGTTTCCGTCGGAGCTGTTGTACTACTAAAAAGACATATAATTATAATAAGCTTATTCGTCGTTATGTATGCGCTGATAAATTGATAATACAAGTAGTTCATATAAAGGTTAACTGTATTTGACATCTGAGAATGGACTTTGCGTTATTAGTTCGGTCATTGACGTTGCAAGAAATATATTAAATCGTTCTTTTCAAATGGCTTAAGATGATAGGATCCAGTTACATAATTTATTCGTAGTATGGTCGAAGATCCCTGATAAAAATAAGTTTCACATTTAGAAGTCTTCGCTTACTGAGTAATTTTATTTTTATTTTTATTGCTTAGATGGGTTGACGAGCTCGCAGCCCACCTGGTGTTAAGTGGTTACTGGAGCCCATAGACATCTACAACGTAAATGCGCCACCCGCCTCGAGATATAAGTTATAAGGTTTCAAGTATAGTTACAACGGCTGCCCCACCCTTCAAACCGAAACGCATTACTGCTTCACGGCGGAAATAGGCGGGGTGGTGGTACCTACCCGCGCGGACTCACAAGTGGTCCTACCACCAGATTTACTTACATTACGTTACTTAGTGACTGAACATTTCGATTTTTCCTTACTGTCTTTGTCATAATTTCCTTATCTAATATCTAATGATATTACTTTCTACGTATTGTGGACATGCAACTTATAATTCTACAACATCCCCTAGAAAAGAGTTAGGAATACTAGCGATTTAAGACTATTTCGGACCCCATAAACTTTGTCATTGATTTCTCTAGAATTTGAGTAATTTTGTTTTTGTTCCCAATGTACTTTTAATATATATTTTCTTATCTTATTAGGTAAGTATATTAAAATAAAAACAGTAATTAATGTTAGCATCTAGAGAAAAATTAGCAAAAACTAGTTTGAATAACACTTTAGCCCTCCGTGACCACAAATCTATAATGTGGCAACGTCCGATGCAGTGAAATTATTATAGTATATACATTAGATTAAAATTATTTAAAAAAAAAAAAAAAAAATTTTTAAAAAGCCCCCTTTGTCGCATCGCCACTCTTCGGAAACACTCACCTTTGTGCCAAGCCGAACATTGGCATTCTGGGCGTTTCGACATTTCGAGTGTTGTCCAGTTTGGCGGTCATTTGGAGAGCAAGGCTAAAATGGCCTCCAAAAAACTCGGAGTACTCAAAAGGGCCAAACAGTACTTCAAGCCGGCTCACCGCCTTAAACTGTATAAGGCGCAAGTGCGGCCTCACATGGAGTATTGTTGCCACCTTTGGGCAGGGGCTCCGGGTTATCAGCTATCTCCATTTGACCGAATCCAACGTAGGGCATCTCGGATTGTCGACGATCCTGAACTTGCCGATCGGCTAGATCCTTTGGCACTGCGTAGGGATCTATCTTCCCTATGCATACTTTACAGAATTTACAATGGGGAGTGTTCCAAGGAGCTGTTCAATTTAATAGAAGCCGCTGATTTTCGCAACCGATCGTCTCGCCGGAACTATCATCCGCACCATCTGGATGGTTGGCGTTCCACTACAATGCGTTTTAAAAACAGTTTTCTGCCACGCACAGTAAATCTCTGGAATTCGTTGCCATCAGCGGTCTTCCCCAACAACTGCGACATTGGGTTATTCAAGAAANATAGAAGCCGCTGATTTTCGCAACCGATCGTCTCGCCGGAACTATCATCCGCACCATCTGGATGGTTGGCGTTCCACTACAATGCGTTTTAAAAACAGTTTTCTGCCACGCACAGTAAATCTCTGGAATTCGTTGCCATCAGCGGTCTTCCCCAACAACTGCGACATTGGGTTATTCAAGAAAAGAGCATATTCTTATCTGAAGGGTGGGCAACGCACTGGCGTAAACGCTGGTGACCGTGGGCGGCGGTGAATCACTTACCATCAGGTGACCCGTCTTGCTCGTTTGCCCCTTAGTTGTTATAAAAAAAAAAAAGATAAATCATAGCTAGAAATAAGGAAATACCAGAGCTTCTTAAAGTGTTTATCAATATATTTCGGCTTCAAAACGTGCGCTATAACTGCGTAATATAATATTTTTTTTTTTTTTTAAGTTTATTGTATATGAGGCACTCTTCTTCTGAGTCTTCTTGTAGTCATTAGGTTGTCCATTAAATGGATGGGCTTCCAATCTTACACAATATGCTTTAGCTCGATGGATTACTTCATGTTTGACTTTTCTTATGGCAAGATCATAATGGATTCTTTCATTTGTAACATACCATGGTGCGTTCACTATCATCCTATATAATAAATTGGAACAATAATGATTAAATAAATATGTCATATGGCAGTAATTTTGTGGGACAGCCCTATATTATTACCAATTGATGAGCAACCTTATCTACTTAGAATTCCAATCCTCCAATACCTGGTTAGGTAGTACCCTCATTGATAATAATAAACTTGTCTATTATAATAGACCGATCCCAATAGAGTGTCATGTCAATTTAAAAAACTGGCTAAAGTTGGTTTTTTGTTGGTCTTCAATCCTAGCCACTTGCTTGTGCCTATGTGGGTAGGGTAAGAGCCCTGATTTTGGATATTTCCTCGAATGTGGCCACTTTTTTATTGTATAGATATTTTTTCACCGTTGCTTTGTAAGTCAATTAATTAGGTACAAAAATAAATTTGCTAATAGTTTATCTCTTACAGCACTTCTATCGACCAAGTTGTTTTGTGATAGATGATGCAAGCATTTAGATATTGCATTGAGTTCTAAAGCCAAATTGCTATTTTACATAATTTCTGAAAAGCATTAGTTTTGGATTCTCTGTACAAAATTAAATGAATTGGTTTGTAAGGTTGGCTTGTAGTTTATGATTTTGTATATTCAAGATTTGGTTTGACGTGGAAGTGCAGTCATAACTCAGTTTTTTAAGTTTCTCAAGCACATGGGTCATACAAAGAACCCTTTCTTTTGTTTCGAGAGGCATAATAGTCTATCCTTGTAGATTTGTATTGAAAAACAATTTTTGTAAGCTTAAACATCCGAAATTACTTGTATTGGAAAAGACAATATTAGTTAGTCACGACTCTCTCAAGCGTAAGTACGTTCTCAAAAACGTAAAACTTTTAAAAAAGATTGTATACCATATATGCTTGATTATAACTAAACTGCCCTTATTTTTGATTATTCACGATTAACCTATCCATAGCATCCTCCCCAGTGTCGTCAGAGAGTGGTGGGCCCAATCTCGGTGGGCCGTGCTCGAGTCATGGTCCAGGCGGCTGGCCGATCCTTCGGCCGGTTGTAGGACCTTCGAGGCGATTCACCCAGTCCACGCATCGGAGCATCTGGGAGTTGAATCGACTAAAAAAGTTATTTATTCCCCATCTGACCCCTATAGGACGCTATATTGATGGCCGTCGGTGCCACTATCAGCTTTCGATCGGCGACGGTACCACTAACTTTTATCCCCAGCCATACCGCTTTGAGTCAGAATCAACGTGGGTCGCGGGGCGCGGTCACCCGGTTGCTTTTTCGCAAGGTATATAGGTATACACACGTATAGGGACGCAAATCGGTATACAGAGTGGACCGCAAACAGGATGCCAGGATTTTAGTGTGATCTCTATTTTGGCACCCCACTCGATCGCAACGGGATGGTGCTCTGTTTCACACCTAGCCTCCTGCTTCTGCAAGATAGTGCGCTCGCAGAAGTCGAGCATCATCCGTTATGACGTTTGACTGTGTGTGATGACGATAACCGTGTCGTATGGTACCCCTCCAATCATATATACCCCTCCAATCACATATACATATATGTCAGCATAGAACATGACTAATGAGACCATGCATGGGAGAAGACCTGTGGGGACCCATCCACATTGGAGTCGCCGGCAACATAATATATAGATAGATAAAGCGTCGCTTAGTATATATTATACAGAGTTAAGTAAAGGCACGATCGATGTACTCTTTTTGGTAACCATCGACGAAGGATAACCTAAAATTGTTTCGGTTCATTTCACTACATTTTGTAAAGGGCAGAGTAAGCCGGTCTAAAATAAATTCTACTTTTATTTGAACATCCATTAGACCCCTAAAGATTTTTGCTTACAGACAATGGTATCCGGATAAAAAATAATGAAGACTTCCCTATTGCCCTTTTTTTTAAAACTCGTGGAAGTTACAAATAAGAAATGGAGGTAAAATCTTCTTCTTCTATCTTCTATCTATATATATAAAAATGAATTGCTGTTCGTTAGTCTCGCTAAAACTCGAGAACGGCTGGACCGATTTGGCTAATTTTAGTCTTAAATTATTCGTGGAAGTCCAGAGAAGGTTTAAAAGGAGAATAAATGCTCGGAATTAAATAAATAAATAAAAAATCCTTTGATGTGTCCCCGGTCGGACGGATTCCTTTTGTTTTTTTTTTTTGTTTTTTTTATACAAAAGTTTAGGTGTTTTATTTATCGATTGAGGCACTACGAAGTCTGCCAGGTCAGCTAGTTCAAAATAAAAACGACACAATGCAATCTTCTTTTTTTATTTTATCAGGAATGCGTTTCACATTTCTTATGTAGGTACATACACAGCGTGTTTACTATACAATCTGTGAGCGGTTTTACTAAACAAGCCTGACATTCGTTCTGTAGCAGCACATCTGGCTCTCATTGTCTTCATTCCAAAGCTTCCATTTGAATTCAAAGTTTCCCTGGAAACGAAGAAATTTTTGTTTTACTTGTTTACTGCTGTAACTATACTTGAGACCTTAGAACTTATATCTCGAGGTGGGTGGCTAATTTACGTTGTAGATGTTTATGTGCTCCAGTAACCACTTAACACCAGGTGGGCTGTGAGCTCGTCCACCCATCTAAGCAATAAATAAGAAAATTATTTCCACTAACTCAGTTTCCGAGTGGTTATACTTAAACACGTCACATATAGTCGGATTTTTAATTAGACGAAGCTAGCTGACAGTAGCTAATGTCACTTTGTGAAATAATGTTGCTATATTTAAAGTAATAGTGATGCGTTCAGTTCTCGTTCA